CATAAGCACATAGAACTTCTTTGCCAGTAGTAAATACACATCCACCGTGAAACAGAAAAGGCACCTTTGAAAACTGGATTAAAGTAATACTGACTTTTTTTTATATATTTACCAATTAATTGATTTTGTAGGTACAGCAGAACAACATGGACACCTATAATAAGATGCATGTATCAGCCCTTGCCACACCTCTCTACACCAGGTATTGCACCATACTCAAGGCCCCATTTATATACTCTTACGGAGACTGACAACTCTGTTTCACTACCTGTATGCAAGCACATGTTACGTTTAATGTATTAAACTGGAAATGAATGAGCTTACATTTAAACAAAATACGCAAGTTGTAAATCAACTGAATTTGAGGCACTGTAGTCTTTGAGAAACAGGGAGAGTTACAGGACCTTAAAAGACCTTATCTGTTAAACAGCGTATTTTTGTGGTACAACTAAACAAAAAGGAAAATTTTATTTTAAAAGACAGGCCACAATGAAACAAGTGATTCTCTGGCTTCAGTTGAATGTCAAGTTCATGTTTTAGGAAGCACCGACTGGCACAAGGAAGAGTGATCCAACTAAACGCGCATTACAGATGAAGAGTAACATACACAAGCAAGATTAACGCTAAGCTTAAAAGTACAAGTTGTGTGAACGTCACACACGTTAAGTGCGTTTCAAAGGCCATAGCTACTTAACTGCAGTGACTGTGTTTAACCAGACAGAGCTCCAAGTGTCAGCTGAACGTACACCAGTTTGCATTCGTGCACAATGGAACTGCGGTAAGATTTGCACGACTTAGGAAAACCTATACGGAATAATCTTATTCCTCGTTGGATTTCAGTTAAAGGGCTGCAAGTCAGAAGCAAGCAAAACTACAGAAGCAATTCAGCCCCACCCCTTTCTATCTTCTTTTCAGCCTTGCAATATGAAGGCCAGAGCGATTTTTCGAGTATTTGGAAAATGAATTAACTCCTAGGCTGAGAGAGTACGTGCCAAGTTTCAGCCCGGAGTGAACTTCTGCAGCCAAGTTATAAATCCTTCAAACCAGAAGTTTAATAATGGAAATGTTGACAGACCCTTAACAACAAGAGTACCAGGCACCAGCGCGCAGAGCAAGTTTCACTCCTACCGGCTACCCAGATAGAGTGACAATAGCCAAGAATAAAACCCATTTTATAGCATAGCAACAAAGTTCATTACTTAATAAAACTCCCGCGCAGGCACAGCCTCCTTCCAAAAAGCTGGTAACTGCAGCCTAAACTCGCAGCCGCGCTCGCACCAGCGC